GGTCAGAAATGTGGGCTGATCATCTCAGTGCGACGACTAACCAACCAATAGAAACGCAGGATGAAGCGACAGACTGATCGGCGCCACACTAGCAAAACTGTCATCCACGTCCACATCCTCCTCCTCCTCCTCCTCCTTTTCCTTCTTTTGGGATTTCTCTCCGAACCCATAAATGCCACCAGGGTGAGAGCTCGTGCTTCGCTAGTTTCTTTCTGGACGGCGCACGCTCATGACGTTTGATTCCTGCGTGTTCACGTCGTACATCGTCGGCTGCTGTTCAGCTGTTTTCATCGCACAGTCTGCACACAGCAAACTTCATGTCCAGAGTTAATCAGATTCATGTCGTACAGCGTGGCTAGCTGTGAACTCAAAAGATTGCAGCCGGCTTTAGACACGATACACGCTCACTCGAGCCTTGGACGGCTGCTGAGAGGTCGACCGCTTTGCTCCATGCAGAGAGAGTCTTCTTCCTGAAGGGGGCGTCGACATTAACATGAACCCTCTCTGCAGTATTGTAGTGAGAGTCAAAGGGTCACAATCAGGAGCTTGAATGAATTTGAAGGGAAAAAACTTCCCTCCTCGACGCCCCAAATATCCAAATACACAGCAGCAGCACAGCTATCTGAAGGGCAGCCACGCTTTGTATGATGCTGCTAAACTGAAGGATCATACGACGCACACTCAGAGCAAAAAGGAAAAAAACTTCTGCACCTTCCTACCAAAATGCATGTAAAGTAGTTAAAGTTAGCCTCACCTGGAGCTGCACATGAGTCTGAGGTAATAATATGTCACACCCGTTGCTTTTACAGTGAATTTATCTGATTACATCTCCCAAAATATCCCCACTGAGAAGACGCTGTGACACCTGAAGGACACCTGAAGGACACCTGAAGCAGTCTCCTGCCTTATGTATGTTTTATAGCAGCTACACAGATACAGATGCTCAGCAGCAACGTGGACGAGAAGGTCTGTGTGCTCTGGTTTCTGCTTCCTCTCTCTACCTCGCTGCCTTCTGCAGAGCTGCAGATCCAAAGTGGCAGTGCCAAAACAATTTCTGTGTGTGTGTGTGTGTGTGTGTGTGTGTGTGTGTGTGTGTTGGAGAGAGAGCTGGCAGGAAAACTGAAAGAGAAAAAGAAAAGCTGCCATGTGCAGCACTGTGTGTTTGGAGCCTGGTTGTGTGTGTGCATATGCTTTGGTACCTACATGCATGTGCCGGTCCAACATGCTAATGAGCGTTAGCGTCCTCCCTCTGCGGGCCGCAGTCTCTTCATTATTTACTCCGCTTCGCTCATTAATATGAAAAACCGTGTTGCTAATTTGCTCGCTGTGCTTTGACCTGAGCTGATGCCGGTCTGTTTGTGTTCCTGTTGTATCCGTGTTACGCAGAGTGGAAGGAGTGGAAGGAGTGTCGGCGAACGTGTTGTACGACAAAACTCACTCTGAAAGACTCTGACGCAGGTTTTGCTTTTTTTTTTTTTTCTTTCTTCACTGGAAGCATGCAGTGTTGGTGTCACTATGTCCAGGTGCAGCTGTCTGGACTTTCTCCTTCACCTTGTCTGGATGGGATTGGCAGATGTGTTCTTCATGAGCACATATTGATGGAAGCATCTGCAGATGACCTCCTCAGAGATTCAGTAAAAAGCATCTGGACTTCCTGAAGACGTTTCACCTCAGAGGTTTCTTCAGGTCTCACCGACTCATCAGGAGTGTCTGATGTCTATTCTCATCTCAAAATCACATGACTGATGGCCCTGAACAATGCAGGTTCCCAGATCAGGGCTGACTGGAGGAGGTAACGGTGGTGAAACCTACTTGGGAGATAAGCTGACAAGTGGTGCTGTCCACAAGCTGGACATCTCTGAACAGAAGACACCACTCATCATGCTCTGTTAATGCAGTCTTGAGATCCATCTTTGGCAATCTGTGACTGGTTTGTGATTCCAGGTGCTGAAGAAGCTTCCTGGATGAGCCGTAAAGTGTCCTGAAGAACCAAAAGTTGCTGCATCCTTTATCCTTCAGAGGCAGGTGACTGCTGAGAACGACTGGAAGAGCTCTCAAGACTGATAGGTAGAAGACAGGTCATTTATCACCTGAGTTAAGCTGGAACAACCATCTGAACTTATCAGGTATTTACAAGATTCCTTCCCATGAAGCTTCACGACCATTAACATCCTGAGACATCCTTCAGTTTCACAGCCATCCACTGCTGCTTCTGACTGAGGCTCTTGAGATTACAATAAGCAGTGATGTCCACATCCTGGCCAGAGAAGGAAGGCGTCGATGAAAGGAAGGAGAAGGTCGTTTTACAGGTAAAGATCTCAAGACTGCATGATGAGCACCTGACACGTAGTGTTGGAGCTGTAGACCACCTTCTCTGTCTAGGAATGGACGCTCCAGTTTAACTCAGGTGGCCTCTTTCACTCTTCTTTGTCCTGATACCACTCATCAGGAACCTCTAATGCAGCCTTGAGATCACCTCCAACAGGGTTTCACCACCGTTTCACATCCAGTCACACCTGGAGACATTACTTGTCTATGGGACTTCCTGTCAGTCACTTAGAACTGAGGAAACCTCTTGGATTCGAGGTGAAACGTCTTCAGGTCCAGCTGTCTGCTCTTCTCTGAGAATCTACAGACATACGTAGTCACCTTACATGTTATTATACCGTACTGTTCCATTGGGAATTCTTCAGTTTCTCTGAACTTTTTAGCCTCTTTTTTTGATTTTCTAGCGTTCAGCTCTCGTTAACCTCTTTACTTTCGTCAGCTGGACGTGTAAACGGAAAGCCAAAGTTCACCCTCACAACATCACAAACCGCTAATATGGCAAAATGTCCACGTGTTTAGAGCTTGTTCCACTGCTGCTAAGTGAACAAAATGAATATATACATTTGGTAATTCATGCATTAACGCCTATTTTTATGGGTTTCCTTTACGGCTGATGGGGCCAAAGGGTCTCATTAGTCTTCAGGTCACAGTCCATCCTCCAGCTGATGGGGCGTGAGCTGTTCGCCCAGAGGGACGCCTTGACGATTGCAGCTTTATTCACACTTCTTCTTCATAAAGCGATTAAATGTTGGATGTCTAATAACTTCCTCGGAGTTGCTCATAAACCAAACCTTAAAAATAGACCAGAGAGGAGCGCTCCTCTCTCTGTTTCTGTGATTCCCCACTTGCAGCTAACATATTGCTTAAAGGGCACTTTATGGTGTTGCTTCAGCACATTTTGTGAATTTTATGCTCCTACACACAAACGTATTTATTTTTCTGACTTTCTAGTCCAGCTGTGTTGCATCATTTTGCGGTCGGCTGACTCCATCTTCTCCAAATCAACTGTGCTACTTTCGCAAAGTTTACTCTTCAGGACGGATCTGAAGAGATTAAATCCCACATCTTGGCTCCTCTGTCAGACCTGTTGGCGTTAATTACCCCTTGTGCTGATGAATTTAAGAGAAAAAACATCCATCCATCTTCTACCGCTTTATCTGGAGTCGGGTCGTGGAGGCAGCAGCCTGAGCAGAACCGCCCAGACTTCCCGATCCACACACACCTCCTCCAGCTCTTCCGGGTGGACCCCCAGGCGTTCCCAGGCCAGTCCAGAGACATAATCCCTCCAGCGTGTCCTGGGTCTTCCTCGAGGCCTCCTCCTGGTGGGACGCGCCCAGAACACCTCCCCAGGGAGGCGTCCAGGAGGCATCCGGAAAAGATGCCCGACGTGGAGGAGCAGCGGCTCTACTCCGAGCTCCTCCCGCGTGACCGAGCTCCTCATCCTATCTCTAAGGGTGAGAAAAACTTGTCTTTTGCAAAATTTTTCTCTCCTTTAACTGTCATCAACCCACCTGTTGGTCCAGATCAGACGGAGCTTCTAGATCGTCTTTGTTCAGTTTTCTCTTTTGAACGAAGCACTAACATCTGGATAAGAGCTGATGTCTGAGCAGCTGAGGGAGGATTTCAAGACTCAACACGATGATGAAAGTGCTCGTTTTTTCTGAGCTCCATCATTCATCCCACGTCGTTGGTCGGCCCTCCTCGGCTTCTTCCTTCTGGAGACGGTTCTTGAGTCACTTTGCTGCCGGAATCTAGGAGGGCTTCTATGGTTTGGAGTCCAGGACAGAGAAGACCTTCAAGATTCAGGTAGAAAAATGCCTCGTTCGGACTGAGGGCTCGACCCAAACCCACCGACCCGTGAGCTTCTTCAGCCTGGTTCTCTTGCTCACTCAAAAGCATTTAGAGCAGAAAATGTTTGTGTGGATGGAGCCGCTTTGTTTACGTTGGATTCTACAGGAGGATGTTTCAGTGATTTAATTTGCACATTTTCAAAGTCTGTGTGTAAATAAATGAAACCATAAGCTAGAGCTGAACCACACAGAGCAGAGCTGCACAGCGTTTCATACGTAGACAAGTGAACTCAAGCTCACAGGATTTGTTTTCCAGCATATAATAGAAAAAAACCAACAGCTGTTACCCAGAATGGCCAGCACGGTGTTGTCCTTCAGCACCTCCATGGAGCCCGAGCACACGAAGTAGATGGCCTGCAGAGCGTCGCCCTGGCGGATCAGGAACTCCCCCGGAGCGCAGAACGACGTCTTGATGCTGAGGGAGAGCGAGCGCAGACACCCCCTGCTGGCCGACTCGAAGAGCGGCAGCTGCAGCAGCTCCTTGTTCAGGTGCATGGCGATGTCGGCCCTCAGCTCGTCGGGGAAGTCCTTCAGCAGCTGAACGGAGAGCCGAGAGCGAAGAGTGGGCCTCAGCTTCGGTGTGATTAACGTGACTGTGTGGGAAGGTGATGCTAGCACGCAAAACAAAACCTCTCACCTTCCCACGTAGTCACTAAAACAGTTCACTGTCCACGTTCGTCTTTACTCATCTGATCTCGTAACAGTAAATCCAAAGGCTCTGCTTCGACTCAACTCAAAGTGACAGAATCAGAATCACAAACTGTAAAAACACAGACACTCGTTGGATTGTCTCGTCCTTCAACGATATTTACTCAAATTCACATTATTCTTTATTCAATTCTCGTTTTAAAATTTGCCAAAAAATAACAGATTCTGTAAAAAACTAAAAACGATGTGCTTCTCATCGTAACCATGAAGGTATTTGTCTCTCAGCTGTGACCAACAGGAACAAAACAGAAATCCAGAGACTTTTGAGCTGAACTGCAGGCAGTGTTTCCACAGAGCCGACAGGAGATGGTACGGAGACAAATCCATCGTGTGCAGATGATAGCTATTTCTATCTTCAGTGATGCTAACACCTGTGAGCTCTTGGAAAAATGGTGTAGATTCCATTTTTTTTCTTTTTTTTTTACTTTTAAAAGATAAATAATCAAATAAATGTAACCTGCTATTTCATTTTTTATGATTTAGGACATTCTAACTGTGTCATTCTGCACATTTCTGAGTTCTCTGTCCTCCTTCATGGTTGTTCTGATTCCACAGAGCTGCAGGACTTTATGTTGTACTCAAAAAATAAATGAGGCCAAAGTGAGGGAGTTCAGAATCTGCTTGGGTTCAGAGGGTTAATGGAAAAGGAAACCTTGCAGGGAAAGTTGTTACCTCAAAGTATTAGCATCTGCCCACCATCGTGCTGCATCTTTAAAAAGGATTATCTAGATTTGAAGCCACAGAGTGAGACACCAAGAGTGAGTTTAATGTCAACGAGGCCATTAATCCATTAAATTAAGATAGCTGCTGCAGCGTGATGGAAACCAAAACACAACCCAAATCCTCTCCGTGACTTTGCCTGGAGGGCAAGGACCGGATTTGCTCTTTCAATCCACATCACCCCATTGTAGCTGACAAGGCCAATCCACGCCACAGGAGTCCGTTTCAGAAGGGGACAGATTTTCAGAAATGTGCTGGAAGCAGTTAAACTAGACGATAAGCACGTCTCAGGTCCTTCAGGTTAGTCAACATTCACACGCTTCCATATGTGGGAAAGCAGATCACAGCCTCCTACCTCGCTGACGTCGATGCCGTTGTTGACGGACCAGGTCGTCTGGAAACACTCCATCATGCGCTGCTCCAGAGCTTTGGGCAGCCGGTGCACTCGGATGAAGTCCTTCAGGTCCTTGGTGCGGGTGTGGTAGAGGGACCGGCGCGAATACATCCTCTGGATGATGGCGGTCACGTTACCAAACACCACGGCGTGCATCAACGCTGCAGAGAAGACGGAAGAAACACCGAAAAGCCGCCTCAGTGAGAGATTTCACTTTCTGGAAATTGCGCTGAAGGTCCAAGGTTCTGTTCTGGTGAGATTTAGGTTCTGGATAAGTGGCAGCTCTGGGAAAAAGTTAGATCATTCAGACGTTTTCATTAATGTTCCTCACAGCTTCAAAATAACAAAATATGAATAATATAAGAGCAGCTTCTAAACAGCGACTCTGTGAGTGACAGCTCATCAGTTAGAGGGAGAAGCCGTTAGATCCTGATTGGTCTCCACGTCTGGCATCATTTATAATTAAAACTAATTAATGAAGTCACTGCGGTTGCCGTGCACATAAATATGTGCAACTCTCTCTCTGCTCACACGGATCCTGCTGCTGCTGTTTTCTGAAGCTGCAGGTATTTAATGAACTCAGAGGAAATAATCCTGAACATCTGGAAGCACTTCAGCTCCTGTTCATGTTTCGTTTTTATTTTTTAAATGTCCAAAGCTGTTGGTGTCTGTTCATGGACGTTTCAGACGTTCAGTTGCTGTCATGTTAACAAAATGAGTTGCATGTCAGAAGGGCCACAGTTGGCCAATTAAAAACTAGAATGGGACATGGGTGCTGTGGAAACCTTCTGCATCTCAGATTAGATGCTTGGTTTGTCTGTTTACTACGCTCACCCCAACCAGTGGAGGCAGAAGACCTCCCTGAACCTGGTTCAGTCCGAGGTTTTGTCCTGTCTCTTCTTCCTTCTCTGTGTAATTTAGTCAGGTCTTGACCTTACTGTGTGAAGTGCCTCCAGACGACATGCGTAGAATTATATAAAGTAAACTGAGATATTAAAGATGCCAGAACTTATCATTTGTGCTACATTCAAGGCTTTGCTGTTAGTTTTGTGTTTATGTGTCACCACTGCAGTTAATGTTCATTATTTTGACTCCATTCATACTCATGAACCAACCAGTTCTCCTGAACACTCTCACTTTTCTGGTGTCTGATATCTCTATCAGGACAAAACACTGTGGAGACACTGGTTTGATGTCCAGGTTTCGCCCACCTCCGATCAGCATGGTGCAGATGGAGAAGATCTTCTCGGAGTCTGTGTTGGCCGAGACGTTGCCGAAGCCGACGCTGGTCAGACTGCTCAGAGCAAAGTACAGCGACGTCACGTAGGAGCTCCTGACGGACGGGCCGCCGCCCAGCGTCGTCCCCGAGCCGCTGGGCGTCCTGGCTCTGGGCCTGCTGCCGTTCCATTGGCCCGAGCCCAGCAAACCCGCCCCGCTCGAGCCGTTCCACTGGCTGTAATTGGTCAGTCCGGCCGTCATGGCGCCTGGAGGTGAATCGGAGACTCCCAGCAGGGAGGTCAGCGGCGCCAGGAAGTATGGCGTTCCCAAGCGCTTGGCCAGTTCGTGGAGCCAGCCTGGTGGGGGAACAGCCCAGAAGAGTTTGTCAGTTTAATGAGAATGCAGTCATGTTTGTGACCTTTACTGGAAGGCTTCATTAGCTTCAGTAACAAGGCCGGAAGGGCAGAGTAATTACCTCGGCGCTGGTGTCCGTGTGTTTGGCAGCAGGACAAACCAGACAGCGCACGCTCGCGTTTCAGATAATGTCAGCTTATATTTGTATTTACGCGGTGCAAGGACTTCGTCTCACGGTTAAAATCTGGCTTTCTCTTCATGTTTCAGTTTGATGGTGGATCCAGATAAAGTCTAAAAGGCAGAATTTGACCCACAAACAAAATGTGCAGCTGAGAGCGCAAAGTATTATTTAATGATTTATTCTTTAGCCTCTTTAAATGAACCAACCTTTTGGACTTTAACTAGTTTAAGAACAACCTAATGAAACAATGAACGTGATGTTTGGATGTATGTGATGCACGGTGATGCTGGTCGTTGACGTCTGTGTCTCCATAATTTAATGTTTTCTGCCATAAAAATAATCCCTTTAAGCCTTGAAATGACTTAATTGTGCTTCCAGCATATAAAAACACACCACACGGACATGTTTACGTGGTGAAAAGAAAACACTTGATTCTCTAAAAAATGAATTTACGTTGGATGTAGTCTAATAAGATATTTAAATCCTAATTGGTCTCCCAGAAAGTCAAACAACAACACAAAAGCAAACCAACACACTGGTGATTTAAATCTGCCAGTGGGTTTGAAATACATGTTATCTGTAAATGACCCCATTTATCAGAGCCAGACGCTGTAAAACGAGAACGAACAATCAGATTTTAACTTGTGATCATCTGTAACATGAACCAAATCTGAGCTTAAAATCAAGACATGTAATCCAAAATCACTTCATAAGACGTGTCTCGTAGAAAAAATAGCCAAATAAATACCACTTTGTACAAACTACGTGCTGTGAAAGAGAAAAACGGTGAAGCCGTTAGAGATTCAGGGAGTTTTCGGCTGAACTGCAGGCAGTGTTCAGGAGACAGGAGTGGAAACGAATTAAAACAGTAAGAAGGAAAACACCTACAGTATTGGTTATAGCTGTGGACGCGGGGGAAATGTTCCAGATGTCAATTTTTTCCCGTTTTTGTGAAATAAATAACCAAAGAAATTCAATGTTTTTCCTTTCTCGGTGACATGTGGCAGCACAGACGATATTTCTGAGTTCCTTCTATTCAGTCGATTTAAACATCTGGACATATACGTCCAGGACAACAGATCTGACTCACTTCATACACGATCATTACAACATTCACGGTATCCAGAGGATGCACTTTGATGCAGTGCCACTGTCAGGTCAAACACTCACAGCTCATTCACTTGGTCTGAATTCCTCTTGGCGACGTTTTCATTCCTGATGTGACTGCAGCTGTCATGAGGAGCAACAATAGCGGAGATGGGAAATAAGCAGCATTTATACAAAGCCGATCAGGACGGGAGCCATGCGCTCATTAACCCAGAATGGGGGAACGCTGCCCTGCTCATCGGAGGCAATTTGCTGTTGCTCAATTATCGACCCAACAATTTATGGATGACCCACTTTCCCACCTGAGCCCCGGCCACCATCCAAGCCGTGTACATCCATGCATCTGTGCATTAAGGGCCAGTTTCCTTTTAGTGTCTCTCCACTGTGGTGACTTCGACAGGACGAGCGCCACAAGCAGCTCACAGGATCGCTGCTGTTTGGCACCGGCGAGCGCAGTGGGAGGCGAAACAGATCGCCATCACTGGAGCTGTTGTCTCAGTGAAAAGGACACAAGCGCTGCACATAGAAGTGTGTGTCATGCTTTGCTCTGGAGCTCTTAAGATGCTCTTTGCTGTGGTCCGTGTCTCTGGCGTTAAGAACTGCTGCAGTGTCAGCTGTTTGACTTTAACCAGTTGTGATAATGGCTGGACGGTCCTGACTCCAGAAGCAACAAGCTGAATAATCTGAGCTTTGAACGTAGTTGGTTTTTTTGTCCTTCTCTGATTGGATCTGACTCGAGTTATTCTGTTTATGGATTTGGCCATTTTCTGCTTCTGTAAAACCAGATCCAAATCAGCCGCTAGGAATCTTAACCTCAGCGTTTGTTTTTTTACTTGTTTTCTTTATTTAATGTGCATCAATGTGAAATCATTCTCTTGCCCTTATTTGTTTTGATGTAAATAGGAGCTCCGTACCTTTAAATTCAAAGTAAACTTTGTTAATCCTGTTGTTTATTCAAAATAAGTGCAACAAGAAGCAGATAAGGAAGAGGATTATTCTCCAGGAGTGGTCAAAGACGTTTCTATGGATGCCTCGGGGTCAACATGTTAGCGTCACGGCGTCGTGTCACCGGCAGCCTCGGGTTGTGTTTTTGTCGTGGACTACCGGTGCTCTGCTCCCAGCGCTCCTGCCACACTCTCTGGTGCACCTTTGCGATTTCACCATTGACCTCAATAGCAGAGCGTCAAACTGAGTCAACCTCCACATCGGGGATCGCTACCTGTTCAGCCTACGACACCAAGCAGCAGTGTTTACGGCGGAAGAGGAAAAACAAGAAAGCGCACTAGGTGGACAGGATTTACCTCCCAGGTTCTGACCATCAAGACCGAGTTAAGGACTTAAACTGTGGTGCGTACCCCGGTGACAACGCACTCTTGCATTTTTTTTGCTGCATCCACCCGTTCTACCTGCCAGGTTTGACTCCTTATGACTTCTTTCTACTCCCCGAAATAAAAAAAAATCCAGTTAAAGGTTAGCTGTTCGAGTCAGAATGGGATTTCCAGACGTGGCAGGAGCACCGGGAGCAGAGTACCGCGGCACCAAGTGACCGCTTCACATCTGAATTCGGTTTACGGGTTCGTTCTCATCACAGTTTGATTGCACCTCGTTCACACGTTCCCCGGAACTCATAATATGAAAATGTCGAACTGTTTAAATGAAGTTGAAACGCAGGCACTAACCTATGTCCCACGAGGCCGGGCTGTTGCTCTCGATCTCGCTGCGTCCGATGAAGTACCAGACGCAGGCCATCCAGTGGGCCAGCAGGGCGAAGGTGGACATGAGCAGCGTGAGGACCACGGCGCTGTACTGGGAGTAGCGGTCCAGCTTCTGCAGGAGGCGAAGCAGGCGAAGGAGGCGCACCGTCTTCAGCAGGTGAACCCCGAAGTTCTGCGAGACACAGAAAGCTCATTAGGACGGGATCGGTTTCTCTTGGCTGGCGACGGCAGAGCACTTCCTGTGACTTGAATTAGAAGTAGTGTTTTTTTTTTTCCACACCCGAGGTCGGGGAAGGTTTGTAATTAGAATTAGCCGTGCACAGTTTTAATCAGTCATCACCGAGGGCCCAGGATCTTACTTCCAGTGTCTGATAAAGCCCCTCCCAACACAGATTAAAAATACTCCACGTTAACTCAAGCTGAAGTGAGAGTTCAATTTGAGCTACGTTATCCGAGGAGAGTCGCTGCTTTTATCATCCTCTGCTGAGAACATTTCTGTGGTCCTGATGTGAAAATGACTCCACCGAACGTTTTCACCTTATTGCTTTGCTCTTTCTCTGCAATTCCCAGCTCATTTCTGTGTCCGAACCCCGAAATAGACCTGGTTTCAGCGCAGCCGGTGATGAGTTACAACACACCGAGGCAGGATTTAATACACATTCCCTTCTCCTCCTTCATCACACACATGAATAGCTGCTGTTTCTGGGCATTTTCAAATAGAAACTCACACAAAACCAAACTCACGACACGACCTGTTGTCTTGTCGCTGCAGTCGGTGTCTTGACTCTGTAATATTTAGTAAAACAGCTTCACTTTGTTAAAATAATTACAGGAATGCATCTGGCAAAGTGCTTGGCTCGGCATGTAGATAATAACAAAACTGACTCGGTGTTAAAAAGACATGAATCAAGTCAGCAGGAACACATTTGTTGGGTCCTGAATGAACGTGTTGGAGGTCTGTTCCTGTGTATCAATAGCTCCCCTGCAACCTCATAAATTATAGAAATATGCACTAGTGGAAAAAAATAATGTGATTCTGCCTCCTCGTACTGTTTGGTCTGAAGGATTGCCTGTAATATCCCACAACAAGACTGAAGTCAGCACATGCAGCGTAGTTTTGGGTGAATAAATCGCCTTCCTCGTTCGTTCGTCCGGTGACCTTTCCGATTGCTCTGTGCTTGGCATCATCTGGCTGATCTGCTCGTCTCCAACTGCAATTTGTCCTCAGAGTGCTCATTTATCAACTTAATTACCAGTTACCTAATAATGAGTTTCTAGCTGACGACTTGTTTCCTTCCCTTGAAGCCACTACAGAAAACTCAGGACTGAAAAAAAAAAAAAAAAAGCTGGATTTCATTAAAAAAAACAAAACAAAAAACAAAAAAAACACGTTTTTTCGTTTCCTCTGCGGCAGACTGTGTTGCTGCCTCGGTGTCCACATTTGCAGGCTCTTTAATGGTCTTATTAAATCAGCGGTGAGTAACAGCCGAACAGCAGGCGAGTGCTATTGATAAAAGAGTGACGTCTTTAACCATTAGCGGCGCCTGTAGCGCCTCGAGCTAACACATCAACAGCACATGAATCACACCTAAACACAAAGACAGGCACAGTGCAAGATTTATGCCGTTTCCCCGACACGTAGAAAGGCGTGCAACAAACTAAACGAACGACGCTGTTCGGACTCACCACACTGATGTTGAAGGCGTAGAGCAGGTCAAAGGGCAAGGCGGCGATCAGGTCAACGAACAGCCACGACGTGACGTAGTGGATGCATATGGAGCGGGCGTCGTACACCACCTGGCCGGACGTGCTCACGTAGGTTGTTCGGAAGTTCAGCACGATATCTGGCGCACAAACACGCCACACGGGAAGTAAGCAAATCACCGAAACCCCCACTCAATAACTTCTCAGTCGAGGATTTCCTCTTAAAAACTAATTAAAAGATTACATTTAAACTCAAAGTCAAAACTATGATTTCCAATTAGCCTAACTGCATTAACGAGGTTATAGAGTGACCTGTGAACACAAGAACTTTGTTAATTCTGTCTTCAGGCCTCCATCATGGCTCCACATGGAAAAGAATTGTCAGAGGAACTGAAAAATCCAAACGCGAGACTTCACAAGGAGCCACTAATCAGAGCTGGATGGACAGTGTGATTCCTGGACAGAAAAACAAACGGCAGCAGCTTCAGACTTGGCACAGGGGTTATCAGTGGAGTTCTCGTGAAGCTCAGACAGTCTGAAGGACAAAGTTCTTTGAATAGCGTCCAAGGAAAAACACCCATGCTTGCTTTTCAGAACAAAACTGCAAGAAGAAACCTTCCTACAGAACAAGTCTGATGGATGTTCTTTGTTCAGATGAGAGCAAGATAAATCAGCTGGGCTCAGATGGAGTCCAGATGTTTGGTGTGAACCTGACCAGGACTACCAGCAGATGCATCGTCCTGACTGTGAAGCACGGAGGTGGCAGCATCATAATGATACGGGGATGGGAAGATGACATTTATGGATGAATGTCTGTGGATAAACCAAAACTCTGGCTGACAATACGACTCTGCAGACGCTTGAAGAAGAGGAATGGCAGTCGCTACAGAAGAAATAGTGGAAAATACGAGTCAGACAAGTATGTCACCTGACTCGAATCCCGTAGCTTTGAAGTATTTTAAGAGAAAGGTAGAGCAACACAACCCCTCCAGCAAAGAGGGGCTGAAAAAGTGGTCTCTGAAGAACGACAGAACGTGTCTCCAGGTATCTAATTTGGCAACAAAACCTCTGTTTCGTTATACATGGTATGTGGAATGACCTGGTTAATGCAGCTGTACAGGGAGAAGAGGAGTCATGTGGACTGAAGGACACTGGGTCTCATTGTAAAGCCATTCAGGACTGGATAGAACGCCTTTCAGGTTCCTATTTTATTGGGTGGTTCTACTGTTTTCAGCAGAGAACCGGAGTTCTTTGTAACAGCGGGATGTGTGTTACTCCAACCTACAGACAGGACATAACAATAAGATCCAGGCTGTAACAACATATTCCTCTAATAAGCCTTTCTTAAGCAGGATTAGTGGACGGAGAACAGACGGCAGGTTTAGAGAGAGGAGAAAGTGGAAGCTGGTAAGGAGCGTCAATTTGCATAGAGCTCATGGAAGAGTGCGATGTGGAACACAGTGCAGCACAAAGAGCCAATTAAGAGAGGAAGAGCGGTGCCTTCTAAGCCTCCTTGATGGTATACAGAGAGCAAACTGACAGGCTATTAGTAGAAGGAAGGTAAATACATCAATGGAGACGGTTAGAAGGAAGGAATAACAGAAGAGATAGAGTTCAGAGTGTTTGACTGAACGACAGCGGTGGAGGTTAATGCTCCACTAACGGCGACACAAACACCTCAGGTCAGCCTCACCGATGATGAACAGGATCTCCACCAAGATGTCGCTGACGCTCGGAGGGTTTCGAGCCGCCGAGCCGCCGTCCTCTCGTACCTCCACGGCGGTGAAGCAGACGTTGTAGGGAACAGTGATGGCCACGTAGAAGGTGGCCAGCAGGATCAGCCAATCCCAGCCGGCCTTGAACGCACCATAGTGGAGGAGGATGAAGCGGGACTTCTGGATGTCGGCCACCTTGTACTCTGGGACCGGGTTCGCATTGGCTCCCAGAACACTCTGGAGGGAAGAAAAACATGAATAATAAATACACATTAACTGTACTAGATAGTACATTTTCTTCTTAACAGTGAGGACCTCTCGTCTCATCGGTCGTCTTGTTATTCATACCGGTGTGGATTATAACATTTCAGTAAGTAAATCAGTTAGAAAAGAAAATCAAAAGACACCACCTGCTTCACCACCATGTTGGCCGGCAGGCCGGTCACAGTCAATACAGTAAATAATCTAATCTAAAAAACACAATAAAGGACACGTGAACCAGACAACAAGTGTGCCGTATCACCTAAACGTCAATCAGCGTCACCGCACAGTAACTGCATTACTTCTGAGTTCTGGTATTTCCTCTTGAGTCAAGTTTAAAACTTAGTTTATGTTTATAAAAGTTCAGGCTGCGCAGCAGGAATACAACACAACAAGAGGTGGGACCAACGTTTAAATCTTTTATTTTTTCTGTACCTTGCAGGACAAGACGTTCTGTCTTTCCACACAGACATTTTTTTTTTATTTTTGCTGGATTTATTTTTATTATTAAAGATGAAGTCAAGTCAGGCGACACACTTGGCCAGGACATAAATTTGACTCTTTCCTTCTTTAGAAACTCTTGGGTGATAATATTTGTCTTCTTCAAGCTTCTGCAGACTGGGAGTCGTCCTATCAGCCAGTGTTTTGGTTTATCCACAGACGTTCATGTGTAAATGTCATCTCCCCATCCCCGTATCATGATGCTGCCACCTCCGTGCTTCAGGACCACGTATTCACTGGTCGTCCTGGTCAGGTTCACACCAAACATCTGGACTACTTTGTCTCCTGAGCTCACAGGTCCAACACTGAGGAAGTTCTGCTGTCATCCCTGACTGCGTTCGTGCAGTTCTTCTGAAATCACAGCTGCACTCAGCTTCGTTCCAGCGATCACCGGTTTTCTAACTTGCGTGTCGGTGGTCACAGCTGGAGAACACAGAGCTTCTACTTTAAGGCTTGAATTTTAAATACATTCTCTCAAGTATTTGATTTGATTGTTCATGAGAGGAAATATTCTGCTGGTCAGCTGAGAAATAAAGAAATTACTCAGAGGTGATGCAATATTCAACCGTTTGACATGTAGGTGATGCTGCACAGGCGTGTCGTGTACTGCAGTAGGACATACTTCTGCACGTGCAAAGTGATGATAAAACACACCATGAAGAAGCTTCTTGACCTCGATACCTGATCAGCAAGTCTCTCGGGGACTTCTAATGACTAATAACGCCTGTTCAGTACAAAATAGTTGCTCCTGTGTGGTTCTGAGTCATAGCAACGACAGCTTTGCACATTTTGTCTCATCCAAGCTTCTTGTTGATCAAACAAACGTCTAGAAAACAACACTGGACAGTAAATGTCAATACTGACCCATTAGAATAAGAACAACAATATCCTGACACCACTTCCAGCTCGTGTCCTTCACCCCACATTACACAGGTGTTGAGCTACAGTTTGACTCTTTGGGAAGCAGTGGCAGAAGATAAAAGGTGATTGTGGGGTTTGAATGAGAGGTTCATCCGCTCAGGAGCAGGAATCTACCCGTCAATCACCGCTATTAGCTGTCGATATTTTACAAAAGGTCAGAGGCGACCAAACGTCTAATCTGAACTCTAGCAAACACAGCAGGTCTCACGTTGTTGATCTTCAGCTTGCTCTTGGTCTTGTCCTGTTTCTGCAGGTGTCCGGACAGCTGGTAGAGGACGGCCCGACTGCGCCGCCGCTCCACGCTGAAGCCTGGAGGCCGGCTGATCTGGTGGATCTCCAAACCGGTTTCCTCATCTGGAAACAACAACAGGAGAGTCATGGTGGAAGTCCCAGTATTTGGATCTAGAAACGGCGTTGAAGGAAAGTTTAGGACGATAATACTGAACCACAGAACCGCCCGGGACAAACTCTAACGCTGCCGCTGGTGTTCTACGTCCTGTTATTTATTTACTGAACAGCTACAATAATCCAGGCGTAGCTCCATTTCCTGAGGCCACATGAAGCATTACACAGACTCTGAGGTTGTGGAGGCTGTTAAAGCCATCCTGTGAAGCTGCTCCTGCTGTGAGACACGTTAGTGCGCTGAATGTGTTATGAGCTGTGGAGCCGTTGTTGTCTTCACGTCCCTCAACTGAGCAGAATATTGAAAATAATGCTGATTTCAGAAGCAGACATCTGGCGGTGTGCTCATTCATAATTTAGGTGTCCACTCAGCAAGCGTTCGCTTCATACATTTTCTCACCAGAAAAGCAGGAAAAAGTGAAAAGTTAATCTTGATGTTTGCTTTAAATCCCACACGACGACTGAAGCACTTTTCAGAGTGCGTTATTTGTTGTTGTGCACGCTGCTACGTCTTCAGCATGTATTCAATGTGCACGGTGGGTGTCATCATGCACATTAAAATTAGATAAAGTCTGTATTATCGGATCCTTGACCGGAAAGTAAGAGGTTTCAGTTTGCAGAGCACAAGCAGCTGTTAGTTTAGACAGACTCGCTGGGATTCTGTAGGATTTCCTGAAATTTTTATGCCAAATTTGCATTAGCAGGGAGGTTGTTGAACGATGTAAATGTCTTCCTGTACATCGCTTTTAAACAGAAGGTCTGACCTTCAGTGCGTCTACACAGCAGAGCAGCTCGTTACTGACCGCTGCAGCCTCCATAATAACGCCGCTCCACTTGTGCCTCAGCTGCAGAGCCTCTATTGGATCATTTCATGTGAATTATAGTGGAATTGGACGATGGCTCACTTTCCCTCTCATGCTTTCTCTCACCGGTGTCAGATTCATTGCCGTGGTCCAGGTCCTTATTTTCTGTGATGTCCTTGTGCGAGACCAGGAACAGAACCACCTCGCTCTTCTCATTCTTGATGGGGACTATGTCCAGCAGACACCAGAACTTGGAGCCTTTTTAAAAGAGACCCAAATACAAACACATCAAGTAAAATCACAAGATTATTTATGAACTAAACATGATTGACTCTGACGGCGTCCTGCAGCCATCCGCCTCACCGCTCTTCTTGTACAGGATGATCTCAGTCTTGAACTCGCGCCGTTCATCCAGAGCCTTCTGCATCTGTGACGTGAGGCGGTCGCTGGTCTCGCTGCCGTACAGGAAGTGACACATGCAGCTCTTCTGCATGAGCTCGCCGCGGGCGAAGCCGGTCAACTCGCAGAAACCATCGGAGCAGTAGACGATGGGATAGAGAGACTGGACCTGAGCGTTGCCGAGGACGAAGTTACTGTCTGGGGGAGGAAAGACGGGAAACAGGAGAGGGAGAAGGACGATCAGGACCACAAGTTGAATCAAGAGATTCTAAACTGAATCACCTCTCAGCAAGCTGACAAGGACAATCAAACAGAATATACAAGAGTAGGAAGTCACACACAAGTCACAAATCCTGTGAAACTAAAACGAGCACACCGGTGATTTTCAGTCAGCCCAATACTTTAAAATGAGCTGCGATCACGTTTGGACCTACGTCATGTGTCCGTCTATGTCTGCATCATGACTCCACGTGGAGAGGAATTGAACAGAGCACCTGAAAAATCTGTTTTTATAAAAGACGGAAAAGGATCGAGGAAAATCTGTGGCCAGCTAAAAAGAGAAAGTCAGTGGAAGAAGGTAATGAAGAGGTGAGGAAGGACTCATAGTCGCACTAAACATGGCCGCAGTGGTCGTCCTCCTACAGCGACGCCATCGACACATTCACTGGTCGGATGACATCGAGGTGCATTCGTTTGGTCTGATCAGGAGTGGATGCATCATCCTGACAGTGAAGCACGGAGGTGGCAGCATCATGATATGGAGCTGCATGAGTGCAAGAAGTGTCCATCATCTCTACACCTTTATCCTCACTATGGGGGGCTGGAGCCTATCCCAGCTGACTCAGGGTGAAGGCAGGTTCACCTGGACAGGTAACCAGTCTATCACAGGGCTACACTTAGAGACAGACAACCAAGCACACTCACATTCACACCTACGGACAATTTACAATCACCAATTAACCTCAGCATGTTTCTGGACTGTGGGAGGAAGCCGGAGAACCCGGAGAGAACCCACGCTGCACGGGGAGAACATGGAGACTCCACGCAGGAAGATCCCGGGTGTCCTCACCGGGACGCCAACGGGCGACCTTCTAGCTGTGAGGCCACAGTGCTAACCACTGAACCACCTGCAGCCCTCATTTATAGATGCAACATTAATTTACCAACATACCGGCTGACAGGATAGCTGTCAGTTCCTACTCTACTGGTAATAAAGTCAATCTAAACTGCTAGCTGTACACTGTTCAGCCGCCGGGTCGTCACCTTCAGCTGCACCAGAGCTTCAGGTTAATTGAAAGGGCCCATAATTACAATTTCATGCACGGATTTCTCTTCTTCCGCGGCGCTCTGTGCTCGGCTTCAGAGTGATTTTTCTCGCTTTGAAACGCTCGTCCTCGGGGAGAGTTTAACACGCCCGCTGCTTTTCAACCAACCTTCCTGTTCCTCTATTGTTCTCTTTAAACAATCTGCTCTTTTTCTTTGTTCTCTCCCTCCTCTGCGCCCTCTGTAAAATTTCATTTAAACTGCTTTTTTAAATAAAATTAACAATCAGAGAGCTGATAAATAAACGTAGCCGCTCTAGTGTTCAGATACGTCAGATTGCAAAAGTAATTTCTGCGTTTCCACAACCTCGGGCGAATGTTGACATTGTTCACAGCTCTTAAATGCTTTACAGTATCGACCTTTCTGTCAGCGTCAACGTAAACTGCCTGTTTCATAGACCTGCCATCGTTAGCGTCTTTCACAGTATTCTGGTGATAAAACTTGACGAGCGGAGTCGGCGTGTGGTTTGTCCATTCAGGGCTGCCGTAGCAACACAGCGGCACAACTCCGAGGATCTGCTCCTCCGGTTCATCTCGTGTCAGCATTTAGCTGAGGACGTATGAAATGCTCTCCCCTCCTCGTTTGCTTAACATCGTTACACCCATTCGATCCCTCTCCTCATCACATTGCGCCATACAGACAGACATGAAGACTTTTCCTTGTAGCCACCACGAGCGCCGCTCTGTTCATGTGATCATGAGACACAGCGGGAGGCTTTAGGAAACGATGCAGCTGTGCCACACGTCACATTTAATTATCGTCGCTTTAAAACAGCGGCTCCGAGACGACGGTGTCTCATTTTTTAAAATGTCGGCCCTCTCCACGGCCTCCATCTCCGGCGGAAGGCGCCGAGACTGAAGGAAAGGAGGCGAGGAAGTAAAGAATGCAACAGATTACACGTCACACAAACATTTATCTTTTATCTGTTCATTTCAAAGCGAGGAAGTTGGTTTGGACTTGATGAAATCTTGCAGTCGATTGCTGAATTTGTGAAAGCGACTTGACAAACTAAGTTATGCGGACAGCGTTGAATAATTCATCATGAAGTTCGGTATGATCGGTGGATGCGTCGTTCCACTGAGATCATTAAAACTCATTGTGAAATGAATGTGGAGGACCGAAGCGCTCACTTTGAAGAATGCGAGCAATATAGGAGCAGATGATTGAACGAGAGGGATAAATGGAGTGAGAGAGCGAGAGACGAACGGGTGACAGCGAGTATTAATAATTCATGCGTTAATAAAGCTCGTCCACGTGTAGACGCTCTCGCCGAACCTGATCTGAGCACCACTCAGATGGATGCCGAGGTTTCCCGTCGGTGCTGCAGGATCACAAAGTGTCGCACATTCAGGGCAGAACAATCACCTCACGTCTCAATGACTGCTTTGTTTCTACGTGTGCATGTATTTCCTCTCCTCTGTTTCAGAAAGACGGTATCCTGTGATCACTTCCAAACCAGAAAACCTTCGATTACAGAAACAACAATGAGCAAACCTCCAATCAGCCTAACAGCAGAAATAAAACACAGGTAACCTCCTGAGTTTTGGACCTTTGGGCTCTGTCTACGTCATGGACAAGACTTACCAGAAGAACTGAAACGATCTGATTGTGAGACTTCACAAAGATGAAAAAGGAGGGAAGCAACTAAGAACAAATCACTGGAAATGCAGCTGCAGCACTAGTCAGAAGGTTTGGTGGTCATTTCTGAACACATTTCATGGAACTTTTAACATATTTGGGTTCATTTTGGAAAAATCTTGAATAATTCTCGACTTTGAATCTTTTTTTTTTGGACAAAAATTAAGGAATTTCGGATCAATTTTGAGTCATTGTGAACATTTTTAAGCCACGTTGGTCGATGTTTTGGTCATTTTAGGTGTTTTTTGACAGACTGCGGTCTGGATTTTGTCAGTTTGGCAAATTTTTTAAAATTACTGAACAATTTTGAGGTATTTTAAACATTTTTGTGTCATTCTGAACAAATTTGGAGACATTTTGGAAAGAGTTGGGCACAAACAGACGTGTTTCTGATCATTCACCAGAGAAAACTTTAAAAGGTGCATTCTGGGTAAACTGATTGGTGGTTTATAGTAGTTCATGAGTCGTGCTCCTAGAACGATACCAGACAGTGTTTTATTTGGTGTGAACCTGACCAGGACCACCACAGTGGATGCATGGTCCTGACAGTGAAGCACGGAGGTGGCAGCATCATGATGTGGAGCTGCACGAGTGCAAAAGTCCATAGAGGCTGAATATCAGCTGAAAATCACAACAGTAGCACTAATCAGAGCTGCAGTGGTCGTCCTCCTAAAACAAAGCAACGAATAGCATCCTACTTGCACAACCTCGCTGTGAAAACCCCACAGGGAAGCTTTAGACCTGGAGTTTTAGCAACAGCTCAGACAATGTGAGACACTGTGCATAATGTGAACCTCTGCGGCTGTTATCCAAGAAAAATAATCCAGTTCTTGGGCACAAAACTGCTTGAGATTGACCTTTCTTAAAGAACGTAGAAGAGGCCGGATACATATTAGGAGCGCATTTTTTAGTCAAAGTTAAACTTGTTTAGTGAAAACTACTACAGTGGACGTATGGTCCTGACAGTGAAGCACGGAGGTGGCAGCAGCATGATGTGGAGCTGCACAAGACGCCACAAAAGACACAAATCTACAACACAGAATGACCACAAAGAGATGCAAATCGACCACCAAGAGATGAAAAACAAACACAAAGAGACAAAAATATTCAAAGTGACCCCACAGAGGCAAAAAAAATGAACACAAACAGATGCAAAACAACCACGTTTGGTGTGAACCTGACCAGGAGGTGGCAGTATCGTGACATGGGGTCAGAAAGATGCCATTTATAAATGAATGTCTGTGGATAAACCGAAATCCTGGCTGACAAGACGACTCTGCAGAAGCTTGAAGAAGACGAATATTCCAGCATGAGAACCATCCAAAGAGCTAAATCCTACAGCAGAAGAAAAAGAAAAACTACGACTTGAACCCAACAGAACACTTTGGGGTATTAAAGAAAGGTAGAGCATAGCGGTTATGCATAACGAAGGCTTTTTGAGGATAAAGCAGCGCTATCGTTTCTTGCCGCTCAGCTCATCCCGTTGTGCAGTTCTAAGGCCGACTCAGGATGCAACAGGTTTGTAACGGCAGCCTCTCCAGCGTCGCCGCCGCCTCCTCGCTGTCAGCTCCACCAGGTGTGCTGAGCAGAAACGGCTGTAATCACATCCGACGGTCGCCCTGCGAGGCCACTCCGAGCATGAGAGCGATGCAGCCGGCGATTTTAGAGAGTGTGACGGAATATAATCGGATTTGATGAATCATTTCGCTCCAGAAAAAAATAAAAGAATAAATAGCCTCACACTTCTGAGATGATTAACTGGCACAATGTGGGAATATATTAATATTTAAGAGCAGCAACCCATTTTTGCAAAAGAACAATAGCGGTGCTTTCACTTAAGGCAGAAACAGTGTCTTTTACTGGGACTCTCACATCCAACACAACAGATAAACCTATTTCCTCCTCCAGAGCGGTCGCCCTACATGTGCCTGCTGAAGATGGGATTTTAAAACCGCTCCTTTATGGATCTTCTGTCTGTTTTGTTTCGCTCCAACCAACCAGCGACACAGCCGGCGTGACCAGAAGCTTTAAGGGGAGCTGTGGCGTTTCACTGCGGCCTCCAGGAGGTCAGTCCTGTCGCGTTCGGGGACGTTCGGCTGGTTGAGCGGCGACCGGGACGGGATACAAGTCCAGAGCTTCACGGGGCAGCAAAGTCTTCAGAATTTAAAAAGACTCGGCAACAGAAGAGGTAGAAAGAAGAAGATCCGCTCGCACTGAGACGGCACGATAACATGTTT